ATGTTACATGGCAAGGCTCAATGGTACAGGAGCATGAAGAAGTAACTCTCTTGCAACCCAAACACTGATGCATTGTCTGAGCACTAAGTCCTCCACAGTGCGTTCAATCCAGTTTTAAAATCAATTCCCAATTTAAAACCTCTACTTCTCCCAGAGTTTATTTTTAAAAACTAGTCTCAAATCTGTGAAATTACCCACTGGGGAAATAAAATGTTTATTTTGAATATTGTTGAAAATGAAACCAAGTTAATACTTCTTTACAAATTTCCCAACAGCTGTCCGACATGACTTACGTAAGACTATTTTTTAAAAATTAAATATTCACAGGATTTCAGGGTTGTTGGCAGGTTAGCGTTTAATGCTCATCCCTTATTGTGGTTCTCATTACCACCTTGGATTACTGCAGCCTATGGGCAGAGGGCTTTGCCTGCCCACAGTGCCGTTAGTAAGGAACAGTACTGGACTGTGCGCAGCTGGGAGGGGAGCAGGAGAGTGGTAGAATTTGCTTATGTCTGCTGTCCTCCTACTTCAAGGTGGTAGAGATTGCTGGGTTAGTGGATGCTGGTGATAAAGCCTTGGTAAGTTACTGCAGTGCATGTTGTAGATGGTTCACTGTGTATTGGTTGTAGAGAGAGCAAATGTTGGAGGTGATGGGTCAAGAAAGTTGTTGGCATTGGGCTTAGAGAGTGTTGTTGGACCTCATCCAGGTAAGTCGAAGTATTTCATCATAGTCTATAACTTGCAGACAGACTTTGGGGAGTCAGGAGGGAAGTCACTCCCTCCAGCCTCTGGCCTGCTCTTACAATCAGTTTTTACATGTCTAGTCCAGTTCAATCTCTGATCAATGGTAATCTGCAGAATGTTGACAGTGGGGAATTCAATGACAATCCAATGATAGTTAAGGGGCAATGCTTGGATTCTCTTGTTGGAAATGATCATTGTCTGACACTTTTGCTGCATGACAGTTACTTGCCACCTACGGACCGAAGACTGGATGTTGTACAAGTCTTGTCACATGAAGGCATGATTACTTCAGTATATCTGAGGAGTAATAAATGGTACTGAATATTGTGTACGTTATAGAATCCCTACAGTGTGAAAACAGGCCCTTCAGCCCAACAAGTCCACACCAGACCTCAGAGCATGCCATCCAAATCCATTTCCCTGTAACCCACCTAATCTACACATCCCTGAATACTATGGATGATTTAGCATGGCCCATTTACCTAACCTGCACATCTTTGAACTATGGGAAGAAACCAGAGCACCCAGAGGAAACCCACGCAGACATGGGGAGAATGTGCAAATTCCACACAGACAGTCGCCCGAGGGTGGAATCGAACCTGAGTTGCTGGCACTGTGAGGCAGCAGTGCTAACCACTGAGCCACCAAACATTATTCCATTTGACCTTATGATAGAGGGGAGGTCATTGGTGAATCAACTGAAGATGATTGAGCCTTGGATGCTACCTAGAGGAGCTCCTGCAGAGATAACCTGGGGCTGAAATGATTGACTAACAACCACAGACATTTTCCTTTGTGTTAGGTAGGACTCCGACAAGTAGAGAGCTTCCTTGAACTTTACAAAGGCTCATTCATACCATATTCTGTCAAAAGCTGCCTTCATGTAAAAAGACAGTCACTCTTCTAAACTCTGGAAGTCAGCATTTTGCCATGTTTGAACCAAGGTTGTAATGAGGTCAGGAGCTGCATAGCCCTGGTGGAACCCAGTGTCAGTGACAGGTTACTGCAGAGCAATTGTTGCTTGATAGCACTGTTGATAATCCCATTTGATATTTTACTGATGATTAGCAGTTGACTGAAGGGACTGTAATTGGACAGGTGTGTCCTGCTCTTTGGTACACAGGACATAACTAGGCAATTTTCCACATGGTCAGGTAGATGATGTCAATATTGAAGCTGTAATGAAACATCCTAGCTAGGGGTGAAACTAGTTCTGGAGCACAAGTCTTCGGGACTTTTACCAGAATGCTGTCGGGGCTATAGCCTTTGCAGTATCCAGTGCCGTCAAGTTTAACATCATGGAATGAATCAAATTGCCTGAAAACAGCTGTAATACAGGCCATGCATCATCCAATCAGCTATTTTGAGGATTGGCACAAATGTTGGGCTCCCCCATTGTTAATGATGGGGATTTGTGGAGATTTCTCCTCTTGTTAATTGTTTAACTGTACACCACTACTCACGACAGGAGGTAGCAGGACTAGAGAGCTTTGATCTGATCTGTTGGTTGCGGTATTGCTTAACCTTGTCTATTACAACACAGCAGCAATATGCAAGTAGTCTTGTGTTACAGCTTCACCAGGTTGACACCTCATTTTTAAGCTTTTTCTGGTGTTACTCCTAGCATGCCTTCCTGCACTCTTTATTGAAAGAGAATTGATTTTAAAATGGTAGAGTGGGGCATATACTGGACTCTGGCATTGCAGAAGGTGTTGTAGTACAATTCTGCTGCTGTTAAATGGCCCACTGCATCTCATGGAAAACCAATCTGGAGTTGCTACATCAATTGTAAATCTCTCTCACTTAGCATGTTGATGGTGACAGCGCCACACACCACAATAGCAATTTTTAATGTGAAGATGGGACTTCATCTTCACAAGGCCTATGCAGCAGTCACTCTTACCAATACTGCCATGAACAGATGCCTTTGCAGCAGATAGATTGGTGAGGATGAGGTCAATTATGTTTTTCCCTCCACTTTATTTCTTCACCACCTGCCACAGACCCAGTTTAGTGATATCATTTAGAACCTGCCCAACTCAGGCTAGTCGTAGTGTTGTTGAATCACTCTTCATAATGGACGATGAAGTACCCGAGCCATTCCCTTGTGTATTTGTTCTCTTGCAATCGTCAGTGCTTCATTCAAGCAGCATTCAACACAGAGAAGTACAATGCAGATCTATCAACTGAGGGTGCCAAATTTGGGTGGGAAATCAGCAACTTTCTTTGCCCAGATTTGACCTGATACAATGAGACTTGATGGCATCCAGTGTCACTGTCAATGTTGAAAACTCCAAGAACAACTCTCTCCTGATTGTATATCTCTATGTCAGCACCACCACTGCTGGAATTGTCCTGCCAATGGGACAAGACATACCCAGAGGGATGGTGATGGTACTGATTGGCTGTTTTTTTGCCAGGCATGTTCCCACGAGCATGATTGTGCCATTGTTTGACAAGTCCATGGGACAACTCTCTCAATTTCGGCAAAACCACCAGATGTTATAAAGGAGGACTTTGCCGTGTCTAGCCATGATGCGGTCATTTCCAATGCCTAGACCAAAGCTGATTTCATTCCTTCTAGGTGTCTTAGCATTTTGATAGAACTGAATGGCTTGCCAGAAGGCAGTTAAGAGTCAAACACATTGCTGTGTGTCTGGAGTCACAGTTGCCAGAGCAGGCAAAGAGAGATTTCCTTCCTCAAAAAAAAGGACATGGTAAAAACCCATCTACTTGGCCAATTCAGAATGATTCATGGTTACCATTGAGATGAGCTTAATGAGAATCTAAATTCAACAGGTTGCCATGGTGGGATAGTCAGTAATCTACACATTATTAAACGAGAGAGGTTGCCCTCAATACTGTTTGAGCCATTAGGATGGTAGGATGATCAAAGGGCAGGAAGGATCTGCCATGGCTCGATAAACACCACTTTCACTAGAATCAGGTCACTGTTGATTCAAGTTCTGTTCCAGAGACTTCAGTGTAAAATTCTAGGCCGGCACTTCATGCAGTACTGAGAGAGCGAGCTGTACTGTCAGAGGTGCTCATCTTTCAGACATTGAACCAAGGCCCCTCTTGCCCTTTCAGGTCACGTAAAAGATCCCTCTTTTTGGCACTATTGTGAAGAAGGACCAAGAATTTCCCTTTAAATAAATGAAACCGTGCCACCAATAAATTAATTCAACAAAATTTGGAAAAAGGAATATATTTTAAAATAGATGTTCAAATCAAGCATTTCTTAGCAAGGCAAGTAGCTTGCTGTGTAACTGACTGCCAAATGGAATGATTGAAGCAGAAACAACTAACGTGTTTGAGGAGCATGTGAGAGAGAGCACAATAGTGCACAGAGCCTGCAAAAGGAGCAGAATATGATGAGGGCAAAAAATATAAAGATAAGAAAGAAAGAAAAGAAAGGGGAGAAAAAAATTGGAATAGACGCAACCGAGAGGCAAAGACAGGACTTGATAAATCCTTTCTATTGCTCAGCAAATGTAAACCAGTCCAAGGGAATCACAATAACAGCGAAAGAATTAAATTCTGTGGTAGTGAATTTGTAAGAGCTGTAGTATTTATAAAACAGCAAGTGAAGAAAATTTCAAAACATTACACAGTAATATCAATTATGTTTGAAAAAGACAGCTAACTGAAAAATATCACATTTCTTAATTATTCAAGAGAAAATATGAGCCAATAATGTTCTATGTTCTATGTATAACTTTACAAAATGTCAGTGCTCCTTCAAATGACCAACTCATCAAATAAAGACTCCCATAGTATTTCAGATCAAAAATTGTAACAGCAGTTCAAGGAAGAAAATAAATCTGAATTTTCAAACTTTCAAAGCTTTTTCAAAAAGTGTTTTGCGAAAAGTTTCCAAACGGAGTAAAAAGGAATTCCAATGAAAGGTCTTTGACCTTCAATATTAGCTATTTTGCTCGTTATTAATTCTGCCTGAACTGCTGAGTATATCACTTATTTCAGATTTCAAACATTGTCAGCATTGAATAAAAATATAGGGTTTTATAACAGAGATAGTAGGAACTGCCGATGCTGGAGAATCTGAGATAACAAGGTGTAGAGCTGGATGAACTCAGCAGGCCAAGCAGCATCAGAGGAGCAGGAGGAAGACAAGTTTAAATGCAAGAAAAATATACAGGCAGGTTTGAAGTAAGAGTCTGACTAATGGTTGGGGTAAACAAGAAAAAAAAAAGCTCCTCTTCACCCAGTGTCAAATATAGTAAAATAGAACTTACTTGCACATCTGTTCATCTCAGGTGCACGCATGCCATAATATCCTGATGGGCAAGAATGTAAGCACTCTCCATACTGCCGCATCCCTTGGCGTCGAAGGAAGAAGAATAATTTCTGCTGACAACTAAGACACCCATTATCCTTGGAACAAAGCAAGCAGCCCTTACAGATTGGGTATGGTCCAGTATTTGCTGTTGAAAACAAAAGAACAGAATCACAGGAGAGCTACAGCACAAATGAAGTCTCCAGCCATCACAAGCTATTCTTTGCAAGAACATCTCTCCCAGAACTGCTCCTCTGTTTTTCCCCAAAACCCCACAAATTTTCCTCAATTATCCAATTCCCTATTGAAAGCCATGATCCAATCTGCCTCCACAACACAAACTGTGCATTCCAGATCCTAACCATTCACTATGTAAGAGGTCAATAATAGAGAAAGGTATTTGAATGCAAGCTCAAACAAACATCAGCCAAAAACTTAATGTTGAAGAGAAAATGGTTTTTGCGTCACTATAGTAACTTCTTCTATTTCCATGATTCACAGGGTCAAATCCAGCAGAACTACAAGAAATTGAACAGACTAAACTGTTGTTTTAACACCACAACCATCAAAATGAACTTAGTATTGAGCATGTGGAACCTGCTACCAAATGGCATTAGTTGAGGCAAATTGCACGTTTTAAGGCAAAGCTGGATAAATATCCAATGCAGAATGGAATCAGGCTGAGATGGAATAGGGTGGGAGGAGGCTAAGATCATTGGCATTAAAATGTGTTGGATTGAATGACCCATTTCGAGCCCAGGAACTCTTACATAACATCACATGACATAATGCCTTGAAAATTTACCAAGAGCAAATACTCATCAACAAGAACTGCAAGACAGGGATTGGTCAATAGACTAGGCTGTAGAAGACACAATGATGTGAACATAAACCGAAAGTGAAGGCACAAGAGGGGATGATCAACAGTAATGGCTTAAATGATTGAAGTGATAATACATAATTAGCAATAATGCAGATTCAAAGGCATTTCAACAGGGGATCACTAAATCTCCTATCAGTACAAGCCACCTTTCATAATTGATGCTTGACCATGAGCATGGTAACCCACACACAAGCGCTATAGACTCAGTAGCACTTGCCTGGTCTGGCTGCTTGTGACAAAGTCTCAAATACGATAGCTGGGATGTTGTCAATAATGTTACAAAACAACTGCAGGATATTCCTCTGGAGAAGGGTTGTAGTCCATGACAGTAACAATGACGTAGACAGGAAGGGGCAAGAGATGCTGAAATCAGATTTCAGAGAATTAGAAAGGATATTGAAAAAACTGAGTAATCATGAGATTACTGCTTTGGAGATCAGAGTCCCACATACAAGTAAACATAGGAACAGGAGAATTGAGTGATTAGATGCATAGCTGTGAAACTAGTATAGAATGGAGGGCATCTAATTTGAGGCATTAGGATCATTTATGGTATAGGGTGTAGAGCTGGATGAACGCAGCAGGCCAAGCAGCATCAGAGGAGCAGGAAAGCTTTCCTGCTCTTCTGATGCTGCTTGGTCTGCTGTGTTCATCCAGCTCTACACCGTGTTATCTCAGACTCTCCAGCATCGGCAGTTCCTACTATCTCAGGATCATTTATGGGGCAGGTTAGACCGAAATAGGTGGACATGACAAACACCGTGAGACTGTAAAAATTTTTTATTGATATGTGAAAGGAAAATGATTAGCAAGGAAAAATGTAGACACATTACAGGTGGGACTGAAGAACTAAGTGAAGTACAGGAAAGTGGAGGAGAAACTAAACCAAGACTCTACATCTCAGAAATGACAGTGGGAATGAGAGTTAGCAAGAGGGAGCAAGGCAGCTTTAAGAGGGCATGGATAGACAAAGTAAACAAGGCAGATGGAATGTAATATGATTAAGTGTGAAGTTATTCACAGTTGTATAAAGAAGAGAAAAATATTTTGAATGGTGAGGGTTGAGAAGTGCACGTCTAAAAGGGATTTAAAAGTGTCCTTAGCCAGGAGTCAGTAAAAATTAGCTTGCAGGTGCAGCAAGCAACTAGAAAGGTAAATTGCATTTTGGTATTTTCAAGGGGGGTACAGTAGAGAAGTACAAAATACCTTGCTGCAATTGTGTGGAACTTTGGGGACACCTCACCTGGAATACTACATAAATAGTTTCATCTCCTTTTCAAAGGAAGGAATAGAACAAAGAACAAAGAACAAAGAAAATTACAGCACAGGAACAGGCCCTTTGGCCCTCCAAGCCTGCGCCGATCCAGATCCTCTATCTAAACCTGTCACCTATTTTCCAAGGATCTGTATCCTCTGCTCCCTGCCCATTCATGTATCTGTCTAGATACATCTTAAATGACACTATCGTGCCCGCCTCTAACACCTCCGCTGGCAACGCGTTCCAGGCACCCACCACCCTCTGCGTAAAGAACTTTCCACGCATATCTCCCTTAAACTTTTCCCCTCTCACCTTGAAATCGTGACCCCTAGTAAATGAGTCCACCAGTCTGGGAAAAAGCTTCTTGCTATCCACCCTGTCTATGTCTCTCTTGATTTTGTATACCTCAATCAGGTCCCCCATCAACCTTCATCTTTCTAATGTAAATAATCCTAATCTACTCAACCTCTCTTCATAGCTAGCGCCCTCCATACCGGGCAACATCCTGGTGAACCTCCTTTGCACCCTCTCCAAAGCATCCACATCCTTTTGGTAATGTGGTGACCAGACCTGTACGCAGTATTCCAAATGTGGTCGAACCAAAGTCCTATACAACTGCAACATGACCTGCCAACTCTTGTACTCAATAGCCCATCCAATGAATGAAAGCATGCTGTATACCTTCTTGACCACTCTATCCACCTGCGTTGCCACCTTCAGGGTACAATGGACCTGAACACCCAGATCTCTCTGTGCATCAATTTTCCCCAGGGCTTTTCCATTCACCGCATAGTTCATTCTTGAATTGGATCTTCCAAAATGCATCACCTCGCATTTGCCTGGATTGAACTTCATCTGCCATTTCTCCTCCCAACTCTCCAATCTATCTATAGTCTGCTGCATTCTCTGACAGTCCCCTTCACTATCTGCTACTCCACCAATCTTAGTGTCATTTGCAAACTTGCTAATCACACCATCTATACCTTCCTCCAGATCATTTATGTATATCACAAACAACAGTGGTCCCAACACGGATCCCTGTGGAACACCACTAGTCACAGTTCTCCATTTTGAGAAACTCCCTTCCACTACAACTCTCTGTCTCCTGTTGCCCAGCCAGTTCTCTATCCATCTAGCTAGTACACCCTGGACCCCATGCGACTTCACTTTCTCCATCAGCCTACCATGGGGAACCTTATCAAACGCCTTACTGAATACTTGCTGTAGAGGGAATGCAATGGAGATTCACCAGGTAAATCCATAAATTGGTGGGATTGTTTGAGAGACTGAAGACATTGAGTCAATATTCTCTAGGGATTTTAAAAGAATGAATGAGAGATGACCTCATTGAAACTTGGAGAATATTTACAGAAATGTGACAGGGTTAATATTTACAAGATGCTCCCATAGCTGTTGACTCCGGAACCAGGAGACATACGTAATCTCAGGATAAAGGGACAGGCCGTTAAAGAGAGACGATGAGGAATTTCTTCAGGAGTATGGTGAATTTTTGGAATGCTCTAGTCCAGAGCACTGTGAAAGCTCAATAATTGAGCAGATTCATGACAGAAATTTGTATATTTCTAATTATTAATGACAATAAAAAGGAGATGGAAATAGTACAGAAAAATAACATGATCTCGAATGCAGGCAAACTCAAATGGGATGAATGGCCTATTCATTTTCCTGTGTTTCATTCATATTAGAGACTTGCCATTTGGGTTTCCTACTAGTTTCTATTTCTAATTAATCATGTCCAATTCCACCCTTGCTGCCCTCGCCTATCCATTCATTGTCAAGTGCTTGGTCAAATGAGTTGCTCCATTTTTCCACAAGGCCAGAACAATTTTTATGTCCTCAAATAGTTTCAGTTTCACTGAAATCTATACCCATGGTACCAATTCCTGGTCAAGAAAAGAATAGAGATTTGCATTCTTTATAGAGCTCTATCATCATTCCTGGATATCTCAAAAGTGGTTTACAGTCACTATTGTAAAATAGAAAACGTTTATTTGCATAGTGCAAATTCCCAAATGTGATAACATCCAGTTAATCTGTTAGTAATGCTGGTTGAGTGATAAATATTGGCGTCAGGACCACACATCTATTCTTCAACTATTGTCGTGGGATCTCCTATATTTACTTGTACAGATTTACTGTCACACAGAGGTGGCACCTCTGACAATGATGCACTCCTTCACTTCTGCACCGGATTATGCATTTATTCAATCTGAAAGATGGTGTAAGTTCCCAGTTTTGGACCTTCCCACCAAAATCTTTGCCTTACACTTTCCAACATTTCTTTCACCCCTTCCTCCTCTAAAACCACCCAACAATGATGATCACCGAGGGAACCACTCTCAAATATCCTTCCGAGAGAAGATGTGCAATGTTGCACAAGGGTCTGAAAAAGTTAATACTGAGGAATGCTATAGGTACCACTCTCACCGATGTCGTGTGGAATTGTTGATAGGTCTAAGAAGGAGACCTAACATCTGGTCCTCCTTAAAGTTTCTATAACAGTAACGATCATATCCGTGTAATCTGCAACTACTTGCTAACAGGCAATCCATTATATCTTGATGACTAAAAAGGAGACTTGAGGAAATGGTTTTCTTGTAACCACATGAGACCAAGGAGGCCCTGTAGTTTCCTACATTTAAAAATTATGGTGGCAGTGACCTTCAACATGCACAGCAACTCCCCAGCATAGTAGCTAGCATGTCCATATGGCATTCCCATCAGGAACTGAACAGAGTTGCTCCCATACTAGTGGAATGCTTTAGCTGGCTGGAGTAGTCAATCATCACAGCTACTGGCAAGAGTGCTGCATGAGCCACCAATCTCCTGGTAATGTTGAATAGCCTTACAGTACCGTTATTAGCTATGATTCCCACTGAAGTATTTATGTTGAAGAGGCTAACTGGATTTGGTTTTACTATGGTTATTTCTTGCACCAAATCAGTCCATCATGGAAATTCATAAATCCATATTAGTCTGCAGGATT